CCCCACAGTGCTGCGGGACCAACCCGGCAGCACTCCAGCTGCTCTGCCCCAGGAGTCCCCAATTCAGCTGCTGGTCAGTTTCAGCAGCGGCTGAATCGGGGAAGCCGGGCGCAGAGCAGCTCCAATTGTTTGGCTGCCTGGAGCACTTCCAGGTTCCCATTGGTGCTGGACCATCAGGAGCGCCGGAGAATTGGATGCTGGACCAATGGAGTTTTACGTACATACATTAACATGGTCTTCAGTGAGGTTACCAATAGTTCAACCACACCAAAAGATCACTTGTCAATGGGCAGGGCAAATGTCAGAACAGAGCTACTAAAACATTAATCTTCAGCAACGCCTTCAAAGTGCTTTGGACATTATTAAAATGCTGCTATTTGTTTCACATATCAGCTTGTTTAAAAAGGTACATTTATGGAGTTTAGGCCCAAAATTTAGCCTTTGAGGCAAATGTTAATAGTTTTACCATATCTATCATCAATGGAAAGGATTTAATGACATTTCTTTTAAAAGATTATTTTCACCAAACTTTTTTTTAAATTATATTCCCAAGTAGTACTGGAAACCCACAGTGGAACATTGCTTTGTACTTGGGGAACAAACAGAGCTCTGAATGTTATTATGGAAGTAATCCAAAGGCAAAGATACTGAAAAGGTAGAACTGTTTTAAATTCTGTTTTAATACAAACATTAAAAACAAATAAGGAAGTACTTTTAAATTTATTTTCTTTGCACAGTACCCTTTTACAAATTAACTGATAACACATTTATGATAATAAAATATTAAAAATTAATTACTGTTCATTGAGCGTCCCTTGTACTTTTCAGATGTTCTCACATAACTGATCATTTAAAAGCAGTAGGAGAGTTGCCACTATATATCTTAAGGTTCTATCAGAAACTTCAGCTTTCTATCAAATAATTTCTCTCTACTAGAAAGAGATTACCTTAACTACTTAATTGAATTGAGAGTCTTCAACAGAACCTGCCTTCTATGGCCAAAGATTCAACAATTGCTTCTTTATTTCATGCTCTTTGTTGATTAAGCAAATATTTCAAGTGCAGACAAATTTAGGACCCTATGTTGAACATGCTCATAACCACACACTGCACAAGCCACTCCTAGCTGGACATGATACTTGATGAAACCGATTAAATCCCATCTGGGCAACAGTTACATTGACTTGCCACTTGTTCCCAGTGGAGGCCATGTTCAAAGGATCCCACCCACGAGCCACATGTGAGCCCTGCATAAACCCAAACCACACCGTGAGCCACATGTTGAGTAGCCCTGCTGTAAGCTTTTCACTATTACAGTCCTGGAAGTCCTGTCCTTGCTTTCCATTCACAATCCTCTGGCTCATCTGATGGGAGATGACATCTCCACAAAGCCTGCCAGTCCATTGTACAAAAGTGCCCCTGTGGATGATGTAGTAAGTATGCTTAGGGCTTCTGGACTGCCTAGTGATATGCTGTATTCCAATTAGGCAATGGTGGGAACCTGAGACTCATTTCTAACCTGTGCATATCATGGGCTTGCATTGCTCTCGGAGTTGGACTAATGTAAGGTAACGGTCTTCTGTTCATATGCGTTTTAGTAGTTAAATTCCTTGACTGTCATTACTCATTCAAAGTGCTGTGAGATGGGTGGAAAGCAGGTAAATATTGCATTGTATTAATATTAGCAGAACTGACTTAAATTGGGCCTGTGTGTTGCATAGGCTTGTCTTAATCTCTGTATTCATGCCTGTCAATGTGAAAAGTAATTTGAATATAATTGCATATATATTTGCATGTATATGCAACCACACTTAGGTTGTGGCCATCGGCATGTGCTCATCATTGTGGCCCCCGGGGCTTCCACAGTTGAGTAGCCCTGACTTACAGCCTTCAACTACCCTAGGATGGCTGAGTCTGATTACCACTTGAATGAGGCAGTAAACACACACAAAATTCAGAGGTTCTACTAAAGAAGAAAGCCTTCATATTCTTTAAAAGCCTTTAATTTGTATAAACAATTAATGTAAGTTCACCTAAGGAAGCGGTCACAGATTACTGTATGCTTATAATGTACCGCAATTCCTTTGACACTGTCTCTCTGAGTCAAGCATTACCACTTAGGAAGCAAATACTGATGATGTGTCATTGCTTCATCCCAGTCACTGACAACCCAAAAGCATGTATGTCAGGTTTGAGCATATTCCACTGTTCAGTCACAGTGGACTTTTTTCAGGCTTTGGACATTGGCCTGTTAGTACTGATTAGTGCGTCAATACGGGAGACTCAGAAAAGTTAACACATCCTTAGTCTCCACTTTGCAAGGATCTAGAGTATAAAAATACTGTTTTAACATATAAAATGTCCCAGTGATCTGCACAATCTAAGGTCACTAGATCAAGAATTTCAAGAAAGTCCTCACTCTTTGTACAGCTATGCTGAACAATTGCATATGGCAGCTTGCATATCTTGTAACTTAAAAACAAATATATAAACAAACATCAGATTTAATTGTTCGGATTTATTTGATTAGATTTAACTAACATTGCAAGTCTAACACCTCAATATTTAACTAGGTTTTAAAAGGTTGGCTCCATTTATTAATTCACAATTTTGTTACTTAGGAGATAGTACTTTCTGGGTGGGGAGAGCACATTACAAACACCCCACATTAAAAAAGTAAGAATTTTCAACCTGCCATAATTTCTTGAGACTACCTTGGGAAAGCAAGAGATACGCCATGTTAAAGATACTTAATATCTTATGCTGCATTGCAAATATTTTGATTCTTTTTCACAGGGGACAAAAATTAAATTAGGTATTCTTGGTTTGGAATTTGTTTTAAAGGCCAAGAGGTTTAAAACAAAAAAGACAGTATTTCTTCAGGCAACACATGGTCAACCTGTGAAACTCCTTGCCAGAGGAGGTTGTGAAGACCAGGACTTTACCAGGGATTAAAAAAAGCTATATAAATTCATGAAGGGTAAGTCCATCAATGCTTATTAGCCAGGATGGTAGGAATGGTGTCCCTAGTCTCTGTTTGTCAGAGACTGGGAATGGGTGAAAGAGGAGGGTTTTCACTTGATGATTGCCTCTTCCGTTCATTCCCTCTGTGGCACCTGACATTGGCCACTGTTGGAAGACACAAGACTGGTCTCTATGGTCTGACCCAGTATGGCCATTCTTATGTACATTGTTCTTAGCCTCACTAAATTAAATTACATATTCTCCCAGTAATAAAAGGTTATAGCAAAGCAATTCCTCATTAAAGGAGCTGTGAAATGTGAATAGTTAAGAATTATATCAAACTAATCCTCAAACACCACAGGATATTTGAATAGAAAGAATTTGATATTATGTACAAATCTGAAACTGAAACAAAGTTATATAGCACTTGATTTTGATGCATTATGCTTACTAAGAAAAGAGTCAAATTATCTCTCTTTTTTTTTTTAAAACACAGTTCAAATATTTATCCCAGTAAATTCAAAGACCACAAAACTAGCTGGAAAGAAGAACAATTATTCAAAGGAACAACCCCAAAAGGTACATGCTCTTTTAAATTAATCTGTCCTTGTGTGCAAATTATCCCACACTGCACTTTGCTTGCTATACTGTCATGACAGTGTGAAAGGTCTAGGTTGGATATTAGGAAAAACTGTTTGACTAGGAGGGTGGTGAAGCACTGGAATGGGTTACCTAGGGAGGTGGTGGAATCTCCATCCATAGAGGTTTTTAAGTCTCAGCTTGACAAAGCCCTGGCTGGGTTGATATAGTGGGGATTGGTCCTGCCTAAAGCAGGGGGCTGGCCTTGATGACCTCCTAAGGTCTCTTCCAGCTCTATGATGTGTAACATTTTCCTCTATATCATTTAACAGGTCTTTTCTCTAATCAAAGTTGTTTCTCCACCTCTAACAGGGTATGAAGCTGTTTAACACTCATTTACTAATTTATCAAGAAATGTAAGCAAATTATACTATCCTTGGCCACAAAAACCACATGCTTGAAGTTGGGTACAAGCCTGTTACTACAAAGAGTCAAATGTAATTTACTGCAATTAGGAGCCAATCTAGCCTCTTTGCAATACAAAGAGCTACAATGTGAGTTCATAAAAAACAGAATACAACTGATACACGTTTAAATCCCCTACATGAAGCTATATATATGTATATATTTGTATCGTTCCAAGCTGATATATAGATCATATAGATGTATTGACCTGTTTATACAAACTCTGGACCAATATTAAACTGTAGGATTAGTAAGCAATTTTTCATGCCCACTTGACATGACTTAAAGGAACCTGATATTCAGACAGTGTGAAGTAATCAATCTCTGAAAGTAAGGCTCTTTCAACTGGACAAGCAAAGTAAATGTACTTGGACTATATTTAAAAACCCCCACAAATGCAGGGTCACAAGGTCTGAGGTCACAAGATCATGAGGACAACTGGATTATTTTCCCAGATATATTATTGATTCATGTAATTTTCGGGAAGACCACTTAACTGCTGTGCACCTCAAGTTTTGCCAACGTAAACTTAAGATAATATCTGCACAACAGGGTTATGCACGTTAATACCATTAGCAATAAAGTACGTTGAACTACAGTATTCTCACACGTTTGTAGACAGGTTTTAGCCAACTGTGTGTACTGCTGTGATCTTACACATGGATCTACCCAGCCCATGTCCAGCGGTCAGGTTAGACTCAGACCCGTCCACACGGCCGTGTGACCAAGCCCGGGAGCGGCGAGGTGCCACAAGCCTCTCTCCGCCGCAGGGGGCTGGCCGCTTGGCAGGGCGGCAGAGGTGTCCCAGGCCAGGCCCGGGACCTGCCCGGAACCGGCATCGCCGGCTGCCCGCGGAGAGGCCCCCACAGCGGGGCAGGCCCACGCGAGGCCCCGGGAGCCACACGCCG